AAAAAAAAAAAAAAAAAAAAAAGTTTTTTTTTTTACAAATATGGTGGCTGTTTCCCCATAGTACAGTTGGGCCTTGGTTCAAATTACATCTGCAGCCGGGCATGGCGGCCCACACCTGTAATACCAGCACTTTGAGAGGTTTGAGACCAGCCTTGCTAACACAGCAAAACCCCGTCTCTACTAAAAATACAAAAATTAGCTGGGTGTGGTGATGGGTGCCTGTAATCCCAGCTACTCAGGAGGCTGAGGCAGGGAGAATCGCTTGAACCCGCGAGGCAGAGGTTGCAGTGAGCCGAGATCGCACCATTGCACTCCAGCCTGGGTGAGCGTGACAGAGCAAAAAAAAAAGAAAAAAATTACATCTGCACAGAAAAGCCTTCCCTGAAAACTCTAATTAAAATAACTCTTTGATTACCATTTATGAACTTACTAGGCTTTATATTTCCTCCTAGCACTTATCCGAATTCAGTTTTGTATGTATCTTACTCAGTCTCCTTCACCAGACCGTATGCAGTATCAAAGCCATCACTCTGCTGGTTTTGTTCATTGATGTGTCTCCGTTGTCTACAACATGCCTGCCATAGTGTAGAAGCTCAAAAAATATTTTCCAAGGAGTGAATTACTCAATATGGAGTCAGGGATTGAATTCTGCCACAATACTTTATGGCAAATGTCCATTTCTTTTTTAAAGAGAACCCACCATTTATAAACTGGATTAAATCTCCATATTAGATCAAGGGAAATAACTCTGGATAGAGAAAACAGGAATGATGTTTCTAGGGAAACTTGTAATTTTTTGCCAGCAGGCCTGCTTAAAGAGAAATGATTAAGGAAGTTCACATAAAAAGGAAATAACCAAAGGAAAACAACATCAGAAATGAAGAAAAAGGAACAGAGAGGTAAAATACATTCTTCTGAGTTTTAAAAATTATATTTGCTGGTTAGAAGCAACAGTTACAATTTTTGCTTGATATGGTTCTCAGTGGATGTAGAGATGCTGAATGTTATTTTCTGTTAGGGATGTGTAAATTGAGGCCATGATCCCATACTACCACGTACCTAATAGGAAAGCTGACACATTGGCAGTGCCAAGAGCTAGAAAGGGCATGGAACAAATGGAATGCTCACACATTGGTGGTGGGAATGTAAATTAGTACAGCCACTCTGGCAAAGAGTTTGGCCGTTTCTTTCAAAGTGTAACACAAACTTACATATTCATCAGCAGTCATGCCCCAGGTGTCTATCCGAAATATATAAAAAACTTATGTTCACACAGTATCGGGTACACAAATAGTCACAGCATCTTTATTTATAACAGCAAAACACTGGAAACAACCCAAATGTCCATCAACACTGAATGGATACACAAATCCCAGTGCATCCATTTAAAAGAATAGTAACTCAGTAACAAAAATTAAAACTAGACACCCAGTAACTTGGATGGATCTTAAGGGTAATTTGCCGAGTGAACAAAGCCCTATCTCAAAGCATTCTTGAAATGACAAAATTAAGAGTGATGGGATCAGTGGTTACTGTGGGTTATGCTGGGAGGACAGTGTGAGTATAAAGAGGTAGCAAGAGGAGGCAGGGCACAGTGGCTCACACCTGTAATCCCAGCACTTTGGGGGGCAGAGGTGGGTGGTTCTCCCAAGGTTAGTTCAACCAGCCTGAACAACATGGTGAAATCTCATCTCTACTATAAAAATACAAAAATTAGTGGGGCGTGGCGGCAGGTACCTATAATCCCAAGTGCTTGGGAGGCCGAGGAAGGAGAATCACTTGAACCTGAGAGGTAAGGTTGCCATTAGCCAAGATTGCACTCTTCCACTCCAGCCTGGGTAACACCACCAAAACTCCATCTCAAAAAAAAAAAAAAAAAAAAAAAAGGAGGTAGCAAGAGGATGTTTCTTTCTGTTGGCACAACAGTTCCACATCCTGATTGTGGTAGGATTTACATAAATCTATACATCTTATAGAATTTCTTAGACCTCTGCACGAAGATAAATAAAACCACAATTACTGCATGCATGAAGTAGTAAAGTCCAAATAAAGGCTGTACTTTGACAGCATTGTACTAATGTCATTTTATTGGTTTTGATTATTATGGTTATGTAAGGTAACATTGATGATGGTAAGCAAAGGATACTCAGGAAACTTGTATATTTTGTAATCTCTTGTGAATCTAAAATTACTTCAAAACAAATTTTAGGAAAATAATATTTAAGACATTTTTGCAAACTACATAACGTTACCTACTAACTTGGATAAACACATCCAAATATACTGAATTACATTTATGAATAGACTGAAAAAATAAATTTAGGGCCTATAATATGTAAGAAAAATCATACTAGGTTGACACAGAAAACAGCCTGTGTTGTATGAAGCATTAAAATTTAATCGATAGGAACAGCCCACTTTACAATTATGGAATTATTGATAATTATGATGCAAGGTATGCTGTCCCAGAAAAGACATCAAGTGTATCACGAGTTTAGGTTTGTGACAGAAAGCCCTCAAATATGTATCATTTTCATGAGGCTTTTTTACTTCATAAATTTCTGATCCTTTCTATTCTTCACATAAGTTTTATTTCTGCATGAAGTGATGATGATGAGGCAGAATGTATCACAGAAATCCTACTGTATTCATTGCCACCTGAATTTTTTCCTCCAGTATGAAATATATCTGCCAACTGTTAAGGTTTTATTTCTGGGCAAAGGCTTTTCCATGATAATGCTGCTAATATGTGTGAATTCACTGATGATCTATTATGATCACTGGTGACATAGGGTCTTTCTTCCCATAGAAGGCTTTGCTAGCTTCCCCCTTTGTAAGATTTATCACAGTAAATACTTTTCAAGACATAGTTACTTAGAAAATTGTCAAGACTTTTCTGCATTGGATATGTCAAGTTTATTTCCTTCGTTATTGTGACAAACAATATGAGGTAATTAATCACTTAAGGCACTAGTGCATTCTCTGCATTCATTAAAATTCACTCCTGCAAATTGCATAATCTTCCAAGGGTGAAAATCTGGCCACAGGCTGCTCTACACTGCCTACATGTATGTATGCTAGGAACACACTGATGTTTAATATGTTCACATTACTAACATGGTTTTCCCTCTGCATGAATTTACTTGTATATAATCAGTTCAGATTCTCTGCAAAAGGACTATTTACCTTATACATTTCTCATGTGCACATTTTTATAATTTTAGTGAAGACTGACAAATGAAAGGTTACCCCCAATCCACAGAATCTCTCTCAGATGAGTTATTTTATATACACTGGTACATCAAAGAATTCAGAGCCTGAATTCATGATGAAGGCTTTCTGACATTGATAGCATTCATGTAGTAGATAACACTGGATTTTGAAATATGATTTTTCATACTCAGTACACATAAAGAAAATCTATACTGTGAAATCTCTGATGTTGTACAAGACATATTTGCTTCCCAAAGGCATGACCATGTCCATTGCATTGTTACGGTTTGTTTCCATTATGAGTTCGCTGATGTACAATGAGATTTCTCTTTGAGGAGAAGGCTTTTTTACATTCACTGCATACAAAAGGTTTCTCTCCTGTATGAGTTCGTTGATGAACAATTAGACGGCTCTTCACAGTAAAGCCTTTACCACATTCATTGCATCCATAAGGTTTTTCTCCAGTATGAACTTGCTTATGTAAAGCAAGCTCAGTTTCCATGGCAAAGCCTTTTCCACATTCACTACATATACAAGACTTCTCTCCTGTATGAATTTGCTGATGTACAATGAGATAGCGTTTCATGGTGAAGCCTTTTCCACATTCACTGCACAAAAAGGGTTTCTCTCCAGTATGAGTTCGCTGGTGTACAACAAGATTGCTCTTAAAGGCAAAACCTTTTCCACATTCACTGCATATGTAGGGTTTCTCTCCAGTATGAGTTCGCTGATGTAACATCAGTCCACTATTCACAATGAAACCTTTCCCACATTCACTGCACCTGTAAGGTTTCTCTCCAGTATGAGTTCGCTGATGTACAATCAGCCGACTCTTCAAGGGGAAGCCTTTCCCACATTCACTGCATATGTAGGGCTTCTCTCCAGTATGAGTTCGCTGATGAATTATGAGCATGCTTTTCACAGTAAAACCTTTTCCACATTCACTACATAGATATGATTTCTCTACTGTATGATTTCTCTGATGTACAATGAGATTACTCTTCCTGGGAAAGGCTTTTCCACATTCGTTGCATACATAGGGTTTCTCTCCTGTATGAGTTCGTTGATGTTCAATCATACGGCTCTTCATGGTAAAGCCTTTCCCACATTCATTGCATATATACGGTTTCTCTCCTGTATGATTTCGCTGATGTATGATGACATAGTGCTTTGTGGTAAAGCCTTTCCCACATTCACTACAAATGTAGGGTTTCTCTCCTGTATGAGTTCGTTGATGTATGATAAGCATGCTCTTCCCAGTGAAGCCTTTTCCACATTCACTACATACATAGGATTTCTCTCCAGTATGATTTCGCTGATGTACAATGAGATTACGTTTGCCTGGGAAGCCTTTTCCACATTCATTGCATACATAGGGCTTCTCTCCAGTATGAGTTCGCTGATGTTCAATCAGACGACTCTTCATGGTGAAGACTTTTCCACATTCACTGCATATAAAAGATTTCTCTCTTTTATGAATTCTTTGATGTTCATTTAGCCTGGACTTTCTGGAGAACACTTTTGCACACAAAGTACATCCGTAAGGTTTTTCTCCAGTATGAACTCTCTCATGATCAGTGAGCTGAGACTTCTTGACAAACGCTTTCCCACATTCACTGCATATGTGGGTTTTCTCTATTTCTTGAGTTCTTTGATGCTTACTGACTTGGGATTTGATGCTATTGGATTTTGTACTTACAGAGAATTTAGCTGCAGAATGAAGCTCTTCATACTTACCCTGAAGAAATGATTTCCCATCTCCATTAAATTTATTAGAGTTCTTAATTTCACAGCTTTTGTTCCGGTTGACTAAACTTAAATTTGATTTCAAAGTTTTTATATACAACTCAAATGTATCATGATTTTCCCTGAAAAGACAATGGCTTTTGGTTTGAGAGGCAGTATTTCCAAATGCATTATGTTTATGGTGGTGTTTCACACTCTTCAGCATCCTTTGATTTTCCAAGTGATCCTGAAGATGTTCATCAACTTTGTTATTTTCTGGGAAAGAAGAGAACAATGAATCCTTTCATATCTTGTTGGGGATAAAAGTGTTTTCTTTAAAAAAAAAATCCTTGGTGTGTTTATTTTATTATTTATTTATTTTTGTTTTTTTGAGACAGAGTCTTACTCTGTTACCCAGGCTAGAGTGCAGTGGCATGATCTCAGCTCACTGCAACCACCGCCTCCTGGGTTCAAGCAATTCTCCTGCCTCAGCCTCCAGAGTAGCTGGGATTAAAGGTGTATGCCATCATGCCCAGCTAATTTTTGTATCTTTAGTAGAGGCAGGGTTTCACTATGTTAGCCAGGCTGGTCTCGAACTCCTAACCTTAGGTGATCCTCCCACCTTAGCCTCTCAAAGTGCTGGGATTACAGGCATGAGCCACTGCACCTGGCCAGGTGTTTTTAAATATGGCTCTCTAATGTCTCTTTAATGACAATACTATGATAACAGTAGAAAAGCAACTTCATGTATACACTTTGGTAAAGACATAATAAACAAACCAAAAGGTAAAAGCAGTCTGTGTGCAAATAAGGTTAGGCAGTTGATAATCTATATAGATTTGACAGCTTTCTAAATAGGAACTTGCAAAACATGCAGACATAGTAAAATACAAGCAAGTCATTATTATTATTATTATTATTATTATTATTTGAGACAAAATCTTGCTCTCGTCACCCAGGCTAGAGTGCAATGGTATAATCTCAGCTCACTGCAACCTCCATCTCCTGGGTTGAAGTGATTATCCTGCCTCAACCTCCCAAGTAGCTGGAATTACAGGTGCCTATCACCACGCCTGGCTAATTTTTGTATTTTTAGTAGAGATGAGGTTTCCCCTTGTTGGCCAGGCTGGTCTCAAACTCCTGACCTCACGCATTCCACCTGCCTTGGCCTCCCAAAGTGCTGAGATTACTGGCGTGGGCCACCGTGCCCAGCATCAAGCAAGTCATTATTACAAGCAAACAACAGGGCTTGGGGGAACACCATTCCATAAAATTTGGGGAGATATCAGACCACAAAGGTGGAAAAGGCAACTGATCCAAAATGCTGAGGGTTGTATTTATTCACTCCACTAGTATTTGTTGAATGACTCCTATAGACAAGGCACTCTGCTGGCATTTGAGATTTATAAAATAAAATATGCCTTATTCTCACTGATGTTGAATTCTAGTTAGGAAAAACTGAATAAACAAGAAGAAACAACAACAAAAAAAAGGAAGTTGGAGATATTAAGTGTGGTTTGAAGGAGCAGTGTAGATGGTGAGAGGTGGAGGAAAAGAAAAGAAGGTTAAATGATTAATTCAGTGGGGAGAGTGATTAAGGAAAGTGAGGACTCAGAGATTACTAACTATATGGCTTGAGCCACTTTGAAATGGTTATCAAATATGTAACACAGACATCAGCAATCTGGCTGGAGGTATAAATGAAGAAGGCAGTGTGGAAATAATCAGTACATACTGATTATTATTTTAGAAAAAATAATTATCTCAAAAAATAATAATTATTATTATTATTTGAGAAAAAAGGGCTGAATTACTTTTTTTTTTGAGACAGGTTCTCACTGTCACCCAGGCTGGCATGCAGTGGCACAATCTTGCCTCACTGCAACCTCCACCTCCCAGGCTCAAGCGATTCTCCCACCTCAGCCTCCTGAGTAGCTGGGACTATAGGAGCATGCCACCATGCTCAACTGATTTTTTGTATTTTTTGTAGAGGTGGGGTCTTCCCATGTTGCCCAAGCTGGTGTTTAATTCTTGGGCTCAAGTGATCTGCCCACTTTGGCTTCCCAAAGTGCTGGAACTACAGGTGTGAGCATTGGGCCAGGATACCATGCTGAGAAGACGTGTATAATAAAAGATTAACGTACAGAACTAAGGTTTTAGACATTCCAACATGTAGTTTTGTATGGGTAACCTCCCATATGGGCACTGAGGAAGGAGAGCTGTGTAGATCCCAGGCACAATTAGTGCCTGAAGTATAACTTACTACTTACTTATATCTAGCTTGTATATATAATCATACTTAGTTCCATATAATCTTATATCTAGCTTATATAATCATACTTAGCTCCATATTATCTTAGATCTAGCATATATATACATATATATATATATATATATATATATATATATATAAAATCATACTTAGGTCCATACAATCTTTGTATATAATCATATAATGAATTGTAGTAGAAACTGTACAGACGCATTTAATGCTGATTTATATAATCCTTTTATATAACCATATAGTAGTTTGTAGTAGGGGGAATGCCTAGAGCAATCACAGAGCAGAAGCAAGTACATGGGAAAAACAGCCAGACCAGGACAAGAACCAATGACCCAGGCAGTAGCACCCCTGCCTGAAAGGGCATATGCTGTATGGCAGGCCAGGGCCTAGACGGCAGCACTCGGCACCCGCTACATGGCTAGCTTGGAGCAAGAGTTACTCCTCCTGAAAAGGAGTTGCAGTACCTTGCATCCAGTTCTTGTGGAAAGCAGGCCTTCAGCCTGAGATCCCGTGAACAACTGAGGGAGAAAAACCCCTCTGGTGTAATTGCGCCATGGCAGCTGTACACCCTGTCAGCTTTTTCAACTAGGCTGGCTCAAATCATCCTCCTATAAATTATCTTAGAGAAGAGCACACTCTGTCAGCTCCCACTGCATTGGTTTACAACATCCTTCTACAGGAATCCTTTGAAGTCTCCAGCCCCTAGATAAGAAGTGTTGCGCAAGGCACTTGTTGCAACACAGCTCACCTCCTTGCTTCAGTGACCTAATGCGGGTAGCCCCCTTTTTTATATATGACCCTCTACTACTGCACACAGCACAGCCCCCTACTATATATGGCCCACCTCTCTGACTAGGTGACCTAATGGAGTGGCCCCTTGCTTGCTACTCATGTGATTATATATGCCTTATCATTAAGCCTATAGATGACCTCACTCATAACCCTTCCCCCTGTCTTGTACCTCATAAATACAGACGCTTCTGGAAATTTGGGGCCTCACGTGTCTCTGCTCATAGGTGGTGTGGCCCCCCAAGCCCAGCTGCTCTTTTCTAGTCCTGTGAACTGTCTCTTTGTTTCTTGGATCCTACAACTCAACACAGCAATAGGGGACACCCCATAACCCTGTAGGGCTGTGGCCCTACAGTTTTGGGATTATTTAAGCCCTCTTAGAGGAACCAAACTGTGACTACAAAGATCAGGGAAATATACTTACTGAGATATATAGAATAAATACATTTACATTCTTGTTGCCTGGCAAGTAAGAATTGGAAATCCCCAACTGTTGAACTTAAGTGAACTGAGATAGACTCTTGTATGGTAATGCTGTTACTAAATTTGCCCCTCTTCAATCTGTAGACAACTAACTTTCCAAAAACATCCATCACATTTAGCGAACAACACCTACAGTCAACCCTCCACCCTTTTCTTTAGCTGTGTCACGTTATCATATGTTCCATTAATTATGAAACAGGAAAACAATGATAGGAATTTTGCATGGTACACCAGCCAGTGTACCATGTAGTTGCCTTCAGAAGCAAATGTGCTGCTGCATAGGATATGAAAACTGTCATCTTCTTCAATCACATTCTGCATGCAGTAGAAAAGTCAATCAAGGCCAAGCACGTTGGCTCACAGCTATAAACCCAGCACTTTAGGAAGCTGAGGTGGGCAGATCACTTGAGCTCTGGAGTTCCAGACCTGCCTGGGCCACGTGGTGAAACACCATCCTTACAAAAAATACAAAAATTAGCCTGCCATGGTGACGTGCGCCTGTAGTCCCAGCTACTTGGGAGGCTGAGGTGGGAAGATTGCTTCAGCCCAGGAGGTCGAGGCTGCAGTGAGCCAAAATTGTGCCACTGCACTGTAGCCTGAGCAACAAAGCGAGACCCTGTCTCAAAAAAAAAAGTTATATCCAATTTTTCCCATTTCAATATCCCTGATATACTGTTTCCTCATCTGCCACCAATAGCATCTACTTCAGTAATGCTACATTTATGTCTCAGCATCAGTTAAGTTGTACTAAATGATAAATTTATTCCTTCTAAAGGCTGTGCCAGCTTCACCTTCAGTTTTTCTTAAGACATTTAGCTGTTCCTTATTGTTGCTACACTGCTGTCATCCAGGTGAAAGGTCAGACTATCAAGTTATCTTGTGAAAAGAAAAAAACATAAAATTAACCAACCCTCAACCATGCTACCTCAATTACTCATATATAAAATCAAAAGTCAGCCAGGCATGGTAGCTCACACCTACAGTCCCAGCACTTTGGGAGGCCAAGTTGGGTAGATCACAAAGTCAGGAGTTCAAGACCAGCCTGGCCAAGATGGTGAAACCCCTCTCTACTAAAAATGCAAAAATTAGCTGGGTGTAGTGGCAGGTACCTGCTACCCTGCTACTAGGGAGGCTGAGGCAGAGAATTACTTGAGCCCAGGTGGTAGAGGTTGCAGTGACCCAAGATTGCGCAACTGCACTCCAGGCTGGTAACAGAGCGAGACTTCATCTCAAAAAATAAATAAATAAAAATAAAATCAAAAGTCATCTTGATTAAAGAAAGTTTACATTACCATGAATATTACCATGTTTCTGCTCCAAGATTTCTCCAACAAATAGCTTCTATCACTGACCTGTACTTGGCCAACTTGAAGCCAATCTTTTGATAGTCAAGCCCATGGCCTTGCACAATTCCTATTTCGTGCCTTCATTCTTAATTCATGTCACCATATTCCTAATTTAAAATCTAGATATGCCTTGTGCACATCATACTCTTGCTGCAATTCTGACTATCCTGCCATGTGGGAAGAGATGGCCAGGGCCCAACCTGTGTTACTTACAGTTAAATGATTACAAGCTTGCTTTGCTTTTTATACACTGAGATTTGTGCCACGGATCACATCCAAACTATGGTACAGTAAAATAAAAGTAGAGATCAAGTGGTAACAGGAGGCCTATGGTAAAGACCATCTGAGAGTGCCCTACAGCTGTGGAACACTGCAGCGTGGTTGCAGAGCAGTGAAAAAACTGCTTTGGTCCCACAACTCTTCCTAACATAGAGTGTGTAACAATCTCGTAAAGGGAGCTTTACTGGGAAGTAATGCAACCTCTGCTCATAAGATTTGGGAGGGTCTTCACAGATGGGTGCTGGTAAGGCTAGAAAGCCTCGCAGGGCAGCCACCAGAATGCCACAGGCTCTGCCATGTTCTCAGAATATGGAGCAATTCCAACTGCTCTGTGTCCACAATGCTCAGGAGATAAAAGCCCCTTAATGCACTGTGTGTGGTCAGACCTTATGGTGCCTTATCCACTATACTTCTGTTGCCAAAACACCTGGTTAGACAATGGGTGGTAAAATATCAGTGTCCTTAGTTAGCATTTCTTAGGAGAACCATGTGTGCTATTGCATGCTACAGACACATGCACTTCCTTCAGCTATCTTCCTCCTCAACCCTTCTCCCCACAGACTGCAATATTAACAAGATAATACACCTAATAAAGGTGCTTGCAGCCCAGAGCTCAGGGCCAACCTGCACCTGGGAGAGTGCGCTGGACCCCTGGGCCTATGCTGTAAACTTCTATTCTTGTGTCTTTCTTTTTTTCTTTTCTCACTCCCTCCTCACTGCTGAGACATGGTGCACCCATGCACAGGGTTGGGCTGGTTCCCAACACTGCCGATATGCTCTGTTTCCTCTGTATTCCTAAATTAACCACTTTATTGTTAATTTTTACAGTAATCTTCTGGGTAGTGAGGAACTAGATCTAATCTCATCCAAAGAGAGGTCTAGCATTTGTTCTTCGCTATTAAGAAATGATCTTTAGGCCCCTGGCATGTCCTGTCCCATAGGAGTGTCTTTGTTTGCCTGATGGCTTTGGCCACAGAACAGTGTAACAATACGATTTATGATAGGGGCTATGGGCCATGACATATCAGTTCCAACCTTTGGAAAAACTGGACCCTCTAGATATTAGCCCAACTTCTGGGAAAGCCTGAAGACGAAAGATCAGCCAGGTAGGTGGGCTGTATGTGACTGAAACCCAATCAAAACTCTGGCCACCAAAGGCTCAAGTGAGCTTCCCTAGTTGGTAATACTCTGTATTGTCACACACTGTGGCTGGGAAGAAATTTAATGTCCACAGTGTGAGAGGGACCAGAAGTACTGCACTTGGACCCCCTCCTGGACTACAAGTGACCCGGTAATAATACTCCTAGGTGAAGGCTCAAGAAAAATGAAAACATGTTTCTGAAAAAATTGTACACAAATGTTCATAGCAGCATGATTCATAAAAGCCAAAAAGTAGAAATAACCGAAATGTTCATCTAACAGATGAATGGATAAATAAAAATATGGTATATCCATACAATGGAATGTTATTCGACAATAATATATTTTGATTCTATTTATATAAAATGTCCAGAACAGGCAAATCTACAGAGATAAAAAGTAGATTAGTGATTGCCTAGGACTAAGGGCTTGGAAGGAAATTTTTTTTTAAGTAATTCAGTGAAATCCAAAATTCACAAAGGTGATGGTCACATAACTGTTCACATACTACAAAGCACTGAAAAGTAAACTTTAAATTGGCAAATTGTATGGTATGTAAAATATCTAAGCTGTTAAAAAATCAGTCTATAATGGGAAGAACACATTAGGTAAATGAATACAATGCTACTGTCTAAGATGAACTAAAGGAAAAGCAGAAATCAAATGTACAGAGGAAGTACTCTGAGGTAGACATAAGTTATGACCTGGTTTGGACTAGAACTGATGTAAGATGCAAAACAGTCCTTTCTAGGTAAACACTCAACAAAATTGTAGAAACTTTTAAGAAGTGAACTCCTTAGATAGAGGACATTCAATATAACACCAGCACAGACAGGACAGATATATGGTAGTAAACGAGAATATAACCTTAAGATGGGAAGGGTTATTGGTGGAGAGAAAACGATTCTTTTTTTTTTTTTTTTTGAGACGGAGTTTCGCTCTTGTTACCCAGGCTGGAGTGCAATGGCACGATCTCGGCTCACCGCAACCTCCGCCTCCTGGGTTCAGGCAATTCTGCCTCAGCCTCCTGAGTAGCTGGGATTACAGGCACGTGCCACCATGCCCAGCTAATTTTTTGTAGTTTTAGTAGAGACAGGGTTTCACCATGTTGGCCAGGATGGTCTCGATCTCTTGACCTCGTGATCCACCTGCCTCGGCCTCCCAAAGTGCTGGGATTACAGGATTGAGCCACCGTGCCTGGCCATACGATTCTTATTCTTAATGTAGTCACTGCTTCTGTGTCTCAGACACCCACACAGCATTCTCTTACTGACTATAATATGACTTATGCATCTTGCTGGTTCTCACGTACCTGGACAGATTCGACTATGCCTTTCATCTTCTATTATCCATGGTTCTTCTCCTTGTTCCAACTTGGAGAGTGCATCTGGTTTGCTGACTTGAAAACCTGTTTATGAGAAATGGTAGAAGACTTTGACACAATGGATTAGGCTGGGATATATAACATGAGAGACTGTTACATTTAGGTAACAGCTAGTTTTCACATCTGCAAAGTAGAGGCTTTTGTCTCAGGAAAGGGCAGATTACAGTTAGACCTTAATATCTGAAAATTTCACATCCAGGGATTCAACCAACGATGGACTGAAAATATTTTTTAAAACAACAATAAAAAATAACAATACAATAACAAAAAATACAAACTGCAGTGGCTCTTGCCTATAATCCCGGCACTATAGGAGGCTGACATGAAACCAACACTTGACGCCAGGAGTTGGAGACCTGCCTGGGCAACACAGACTCCATCTCTACCAAAAAAAAAAAAAAAAAAAAATTGGCCAAGCATGGTGGTTTGCACCTGTAGGCATAGCTCCTCAAAAGGCTGAGGAAGGAGGATCACTTGAATCCAATTCAAGGCTGCAGCAAGCCAATGAAGGAACCACTACATTCCATTCTGGGTGACAGAGCAAGACCCTGTCTCTAAAGAAAAATATAAAAACAAAACATTGAGTATAACAACTATTTACATGGCATCTACATTGTATTAAGTATCAAGCGTAACCTAGAGATGATTTAAAGAATTCGGGAGGAGGTGTGTGTAGGTTATATGCAAATACAATGCCATTTATATGAGACTTGAGCATCTGTGGATTTCAAACCTTTGGAAAGTTGTGAAACCAATCTCTCTTGGACAATGATGGATACCTCCTTTTATCAGAAGCCAGAGGATGCACTAAAAATCTGCTATTCAGAGCACTGCAGTGACTTCCAAGGGTAAGGAGCTGAGAAAGCAAAGGCCACAGACTGGGCATCTTCCAGGTGACCCAGGGCATCTGTCCTTACCCACTGATACCAGGTTGCTGTAGATCTCCAACATCACATCCCGATACAAGTCCTTCTGAAAAGGGTCCAGGAGCTGCCACTCCTCCCAGGTGAACTCCACAGTAACATCCTCCAGTGTCAGCGATTCCTATAAAAAAACAGAGCCTTGACTTAACACAGAGAAGAGAACAGACTTGGTAGAATCTGCAAATTCTTAATGCCGCTGATCTTATCACATTCTGAATTATTTCACATGAGAAATAAATCTAGGAAAAAAAAAGCCTTAGGTTTCTATCTAATTAATACTCAAAAATAAGCTTTTCCTCTTTAAAGTCCTAACCAGAAGGCAATAGAAGCAAATGTGAAATATATTCATGGAAGCAGAAGTAAATATGAAATATATTCATGTTCAAAGCCATAAAGGAAAAAAATAGACAAATTTTAAGAAAAAAATTAAATTTCTACATTGAAAAATAGATCATAAAGCTGAAAGAAAAATGACAGGCTAAAAAACACTTGGAGTAAACAGAAGATCAATATGTAGCAGATATAAATAACTCATTAACCAGCAAGAAAAAAGTTTTTTTAATGTAAAAGTTATAAAGTCAGGCATTTCACGAGAAAAAAATCCAGTTGGCCAAGACATACACATAAAGGGTTTCAACCTCACCTGCGATGAGGAAAATGCAAGATAAGACAAAAGAATACTGGATCATTGAAAACTGTGTGATTTGATAATGTCATATTTTTAAGTATTGGGAAAGATTTAAAGACACAAAGGACTCCATGTATCAGTATCTATGTGGCAGGCACTCACTTAAATACTTTACATAGTTTAACAATATTTTTTTTTTTTTTTTTTTTTTTTTTTTGAGACGGAGTTTCGTTCTTGTTACCCAGGCTGGAGTGCAATGGTGCAATCTTGGCTCACCGCAACCTTTGCTTCCTGGGTTCAGGCAATTCTCCTGCCTCAGCCTCCTGAGTAGCTGGGATTACAGGCACGTGCCACCATGCCCAGCTAATTTTTTTTTGTAGTTTTAGTAGAGACGGGGTTTCACCATGTTGACCAGGATGGTCTCGATCTCTTGACCTCGTGATCCACCTGCCTCGGCCTCCCAAAGTGCTGGGATTACAGGCTTGAGCCACCGCACCCGGCCAGTTTAACAATATTTTTATGTATGACTTTAGACAAATGGAATTTTATATAGTTAATATTCTTCAATTAATTACATTCCTTTATTTTCTAAAATAAAGGAATTTTATTTTAGATTATTCCTTTATATTCTAAAACTATGCCATCTAAGGTAGGAGTGTCCAATCTTTTGGCTTCCCTGGGCCATACTGGAAAAAGAAATGTCTTGGGCCACACCTAAAATACACTAATGATAGCTGAAAAAAAAAACCCAAAAAATTCTCATAATGTTTTAAGAAAATTTACAAATTTGTGTTGGGCTGCATTCAAAGCTGTCCTGGGCTGCATGCAGCCCACAGACCAGACCATAGGTTGTACACGCTTGATCTAAGGTGACCAACAGGTGGAATGTGATTCCACTGAAGCAAAAGAAGCCATAATAAATGTGTTTATATATACAGACACATACATAAAAGACACAGATGTATGTATTAGAAGACATACATATATATACATATAGAGATGCACACAGTTTGGTGACAGCAAGTATGTGCTACCAAATATTTGTTGAAGCAGTATAAGGGGATTAGGAAGTAAGTTATGAAGAAGGAATTTACTTTTTTAAACAGTGTGTACTTCATCAATAGAATTTACTTCCCTTTGGGGCTGGGCACAGGGGCTCACACCTGTAATCTCAGCACTTTGGGAGGCCGAGATGGGTGGATCACGAGGTCAAGAGATCAAGACCATCCTGGTCAACATGGTGAAACTCCGTCTCTACTAAAAATACAAAAATTAGCTGGGCATGGTGGCGCACGCCTGTAGTCCCAGCTACTCGGGAGGCTGAGGCAGGAGAATTGCTTGAACCCAGGAGGCGGAGGTTGCGGTGAGCCGAGATCGCGCCATTGCACTCCAGCCTGGGTAACAAGAGCGAAACTTCGTCTCAAAAAAAAAAAAAACACACACACACAAACAAAAAAACCACAAACCACAATTTTTTCCCTTTGGAATCCACGAGTAATTTACATCAAGCAATAAAAGTATGGAAGAACTGGAGATGAAAATGCAGGATTCTGTACATTCTGAGATGAGGTAAAATTATCAAGCACAGCACCCAACAACTCAAGACCCAACTGCCTAATGCCAAATCTGTAGTTACATGCCAGTTCAGCCACCTGTTCAGGACAAATGGAAGTTAAACACGCCTTCCATTTTCCTAGGCCACTTAGATTTTATTCCTAAATAAGCTCACACAGACACACAAGACTGAGTCCTTTCAGTGGTCTTGCTTTCGTCCCCTGAAAAAACTGTGTCAGTGCACTGAGTTTACCCGGTCTTTTTCCATAGGAGTATCTCAGGAACGCTGTAATAAACAGCAGTAAGAAATCTTCTGCCTTTATTAGAAAGCTAGTTCAAAACACTGTTCACCACATCACCTCTGAGAAGGATGGCAAATTTTTCTTGAGATCTAACTGCCATGAAATAATGATCTACTGAGGAAGCTCTGCTTTCTCCTCAGTTACTGTATATTATATAACTTAGCATGACTCTCCTGTACTGGCTGACAAGAGACATCAGATGCAAGCTGACAGCTAACGTAATAGAAAAGATCTAGCCAGGCATTATGTTCCAACATCAGTCATTTTGTAGGAATCTTATAAACGCTCCATTCCTGATCTTTGCCATGATGTAGGAGTTAAAGTTTATTTCTCTCTAGATTCTGAAATGATTTCTTACAGGTCTCTACAAATCCGCTATGGAATAAAGGAGAGAATAAAATAGAGAAAAGTCACCTGGGCATTGAGCATTTTCTTCTGTTGTCGGAAATGGCCAGCACTGGGATACTCTGTCTTTGTCTCCTCTGGATCTGCCTTAAATTTCTAGTTAGAAACCCCGGTCACTACCAGTGAAGGGTATTCACAGAAATCATATCTAGGTCCTGGAATCTTCCTCTTTCTTCATTCATTTCTTGTCTCTTCCCAGGGTAGCCAGGACCTGTTGACTGGAAAGCAAAACAACTTTCAGGTGTACATTCACCTTAACATGTGGCCCTGAGTATCTGTCTCTTTATTTGGTTCTCTCAAACCAGTGAAACGCAAGACCCTCAATGTAGGTTGAATGCCTTTCTTCTGTGAAGTGTGGAAGTAACATGAAGGTGAAAGGGAAGGTCACAAAGGATAATCCACACAGCATCATGCCTAAGTAGTAGGTAATTCTTGTGTCAGTTTTTTAAATAAGGCCATATGGATGGTGAAAAACTGTACATTTTTTCCTTTGTACACTGTTACCTTCACACCTCTTTAAAAGGCTTCATATAAATTTAAAAGTGTTTATATACAGCCAGGCTTTATATACAGCCAGGCACAGTGGCTCATGCCTGTAATCCTAGCACTTTGGGAGGACAAGGCAGGCAGATCTCCTGAGGTCAGGAGTTCGAGACCAGCCTGGTCAACGTGGTGAAATGCCATCTCTACTAAAAATACAAAAAATTAGCTGGGTGTGGTGAAGGGTACCTATAATCCCAGCTACTCGGGAGGCTGAGGCAGAATAAAATGGCTTGAACCCAGGAGGTGGCAGTTGCAGTGAGCCAAGATCACACTGTTACATTCTAGCCCGGGCAATAAGACAAGACTTTATCTCAAAAAAAAAAAAAAAAAAAAAAAAATGAGTGTTTATATACACACTTCAATATGAAGAACAAGAAACACACTGAAAAAAAAAAAAGAGGGATACAGAGAGAAGGAATATGGGGTATAAGTACAAATTCACAAATAATTCAAAAATATAAATATTGGAAAAATAGCTGCCTTTATTATATACTAACATATAAAACCTGAAAGGAAACATCGATAAAAATATGCAGTACGTTTGCAAGCGCGCACACACACACACACACACACACACACCCACCCACCCCAGCCCGGACTCCTGTGAAGACTTCAGCTTTCACTTACACACACACACACACACACACACACACACACCTCAGCCCGGACTTCTGTGAAGACTTCAGCTTTCACTTACACACACACCCCCCCCCCCAGCCCGGACTCCTGTGAAGACTTCAGCTTTCACACACACACACACACACACACACACACCCAGCCCGGACTCCTGTG